AGCCATGAAAAGATTGGGGGAACACTGAAAAGTATATTACTGAATGAAATAAGAGTCGATCTGAAAAGGTCACATACTGTATGAAGCCAACTATGTGACACTCTAGAAAAGGCAAATCTATATCAACAGTAAAAAGATCCAGGGTTGAGCAGAGAGAAAGATGAGTAGGTGGAACTCAGAGAATTTTTAGGATAGTGAGACTATTCCCTGCAAATACCATAGGGTGCCTACAATGTCATTATACCTTTGTCCAAACCATAGAATGAACAAGACAAAGAGTGAGCCACAATGTAAAATATAAGCTTTGGGTGATAATGTTTCAATGTAGGGTTCATCAATTTTAACAAATGTCCCACTGTGGTGCAGGCATTGTAATGGGGGAGATTATGCACAGAGGGGCAAGGAGTATATGGGACTCCTTTTTAACCTTCTCAATTTTGCTGTGAACCTAAAACTGCTTTAAAAATAATAAAATTTATTTTTAAAAATACTTTGAAAACTGCAGTGTATTATTTATTTATTTACTTTTGCAGTACTGGGGATTGGACCCAGGTGCACTTGCCCACTAAGTTCCATCTCCAGCAAAAAAAAAAAAAAAAAAAAAAAATTTTGAGACAGGATTGCTAAGTTGCTCAGGCTGGCCTTGAGCTTGTGATCCTCCTAAACTGCAGTTCACTTTAAAATATGGCATGATGTCCTCTCCAAAGGGCTTGTGTAGTTCTGCCTCTGTGACCTTGTTTGTTGCAGCCCAAGTAGTCCTTCTGTTGGCTTGTCTCTCTGCTCAATTCTGCAGCTTTCCTAAGATGATGTCCCATGTTACTGGCATTTCTCAGTCTTGGGGATCTCCACTGCAGATGCAGCTTCCTCCTCACGTCTCCACACTTTGACTTTTCAGGGGGTACCCACAGGGACTCCAAACCTGCTGCACTTTGCCTGGCCTCCCAAGCCTTCCTTTGAAATCTTGGTGGAAGCCTCCATGAACCCCTAACTGCATCATCCTGCATTCCTGCAGAACCAGCACCTTGTGATTGACACCAAGGTCTGCTGCCATCTAGAGGAGTAGCCAAGCCTTTAGGAACCCTTGCTGCAGCAGCCTCTGAATGTTCTGGTGTCTGAGCATGTTGAAAAAACTTACTAGGTGCTCTTGTGCAAGGAGGGTGCCCCACAAGTCTCTTCTCAAGAGAATTTTCATTTATATTCCCTTGACCTTGAGATGGGTGTAGTTTTGCCAGTTTTGCCAGCTCCTGAGATCCCTCAAGCCATCTTTCTTATTGTCTCTAGGCAAAGTCTTTAGCAAAGTCTTTAACAACTGCAACTTCCTTAGCCCTAGTTTTACTTCAGCTTTCAAGTCTAGGTTTTCCAAATCTTTCTGCTCTACTTTCTGCTCCTGATTATCACAATAAATTTGGTTAAAAACTGCCAGCAATACCCAGGACACTTCCTGTGGTATTCTCAGGGTATTCCTGTCTAGGAATTTCTTCTGCCAAATTAAGAAGTCCCTCACTTTTAAAATCAGCCTTGCAGAAAGACTCATGACACGGGTAAAATGCAGACAATTTCTCAGCCAGAACATAACACAAATGGCCTCCACTCCAATTACTGGTAGTGTCCTTTTTTCCTCTAACCCTCTTGAGCTCTATCTTCACTGTCCATGGTCCTAATGGCATGCTGTTTTTTTTGAGTTCCCTCCAGGATCGGCCATTAAACCTCTGCTTACAACAATCTAAAACATTTCCAGCTTACACTGCTAAACATCTTAAATTCCTCTGACCAATTCTAAAATGCTAAAAAAATTTATGAACTACATGGTCTGGTTAGTCATAGCAATAATAGCAATAACCCCACTTCTCAGTACCAATTTCTGTTTTAGTCAGCTTTTTTGTTGCTGTGACTAAAGATCTGACCAGAATAATTTTAGGAGGAAAAGTTTATTTGAGGACTCATGGTTTCAGAGGTCTCAATCCACAGACAGTAGGCTCCATTCCTCAGGGCTCCAGTTGAGGCTGAACATCACAGTAGAGGGAAGTGACTCACATGAAGATCAGAAAGCAGAGAGAGAGTCTCCACTTGCCAGATATATATGTATATACACCAAAGCCATGCCCCCAATGCCCTCCTCCAACCACACACTACCACTTCAGTTACTACTCAGTTAATCCCTATCAGGGGATTAATTCACTGATTAAGTTAAGACTCTCACAACCCAGTTATTTCTTCTCTGAACCTTTTTGCATTGTCTCACATGTGAGTTAATATTTATATTAAATAGTTTTAAGATTATTTAATATAAATATTAAAATATAAATATAAAATAAATATATTTAATATGGTAAATATATTAAACATATTAAATATATTTATACTTACATAAATATAAATTAAATATATTTAATATATTTCATATAATATATTTAATATTAAATATATTAAATATATTAAATATATTAAATATATTCTTATATAAATATAAGTATATTTAATATAAAATATAAATATATTTAATATGTTATTAAATATATACAATATATTTAATATTAAATATATACAATATATTTAATATTAAATATATACAAATATATACAGATTAAATATATACAAATCTTATATCTGTATATAAATATATACAAATATTAAATATATACAAATCTTAATGTAGTTTTCTTTTTTTGATAGTGCACCATTTTGAATAAATATTTTCAAAGTCTTATGCCATTGCTTTCAACTGCACAGATAATGTTTTTGCAAATATATAAAATAGGATTCATGCTATTGTTTTCTATTAAAATTATTAGTATAATATTGTTATTAATTATTACTTATATAAATATGACAGATTAGTATATCTGTCAATGAAGATTTTCTCCAAAACTGCTTACACATTAGTAATGAGGAAAGGAAAAAATACCAGGTGGCTTAGTATGTTTAGAGTTGCTCTAATTATTGGTTAGACAGGTGTCTTTGAAAAGATTCTGTGGAGAAGTTCAGTCACTTCCCTTCTCTTGGATGCTTCAATGCCCAGAATAAACCTCCCCTGTCCTTAGAGTAAACTACCTTCTCCACTCAAGGAGCTCAAACAAATCTAACCCAGGGACTGGGGATGTAGCCAAGTGCCTAGTGTGCATACAGCCCTGGGCTTGATCCTCAGCATCCCACAAAACAAGGGGGTGTTAGAATCTAGTACAATCTTACCACACCTTCTCTTTTAGCAGCACTACCAGAGTATTTTCTGGGTCACTATTGGTGCCTATGGTTTATACTAGTGGCCTCAAATTGGCAGATTTGCTTGATAAATATGCTTCATTTGGCCTGCACACTGTTCTAAGAAAATACAATTTCTAGTATCTCGAAATTATGCTGTTTCACACAAAAATATATATATATTCCTAGCTTCCCTTGCCCCATTCAGTATTAGGAATTAAACCCAGGTCCTTGCATAAGCTGGGCAAGCACTCTACCACTGAGCCACATCCCCAGCCCTTCCAATTTTATTTTGAGACAGGCCCTCAATATGTTGTCAAGGCTTGCCATGAACTCGTGATTCTCCTTTCCCAAACTCCCAAGTATTATGGATATGCACCACCATTGGCAGTAAAATTGACTTTCTATATAATTACCACTTCTATAATTTATTTTTTATAATTGTTCTCTGATATTATCATCATGATATCATCATCAAAAAGCCATAATGGGTTAAGCTATTGCATTCCAAAAACATTTCTATTGCTTGGAGGATAATCTTACAATATGATAAATTAAATTATTGCAATTTGTTATATAAAAAGAAAAAAATTGAAAAATTTGGTTAGTCATCATGATTTCCAAAACTGGAAAAACAAATTATAAAAGAAACTTTTCACATGCCTACATTTGCCTACATCTTCTGAAGGGTTCCTGATATATCTACCTGTACATGTCTTTGAACCTCATATCTTGCACATGCTAGGCAATTGCTCTACCACTGAGCTACAATTCAGGCCTATTTATTCATACCAATATCAAATCTGTTTTCTGTTTGCTGCTGTAACAAATAACCACAAACTTGGAGGCTTAAAACAACAGAAATTTAATTATCTTACAGTTCTGCAGAGTAGAAGTTTGGCATGGGTTGTCAACTGGGCTAAAATCAAGATGTTGGATGAATAGCTCAGTCATAGAGATGTTGTGTTCCTTTTTTAGGAGTGAATTAACTTCTTGCCTTTTCAAACTTCTACAGGCCATTCACATTCCTTCACTTGTGGCCCATTCTATACCTTCTAAACCTTATTATATGTTTCATAAATGATATTACGTATTGTTTGAGGGTAGTGACCATTTTCCAAAGTCACAGTCTATATGTTGTTTTCTTTCTTCCCTCCTTCCCTCCCTCCCTTCCTTCCTTCTTTCCTTCTTTCTTCTTTTTGTAGCACAGGGGATTTAACTCAGGATCTCATGCATGCTAGGCAAATACTCTATGATTGAGCTACTCATCTCTTTGAATCTTGTATTATCTTCCTATTTTCTTTTGAGGAACCTTATGGTTACATTGGACCCACCAGTGATATTCTCTGTTAAGATCAATGGATAAGCAACATTAATTCCATCTACAACCCTAATTCTTTGCCATATAATGTGACCTATTCACAGGGCCTGGGGACTAGATTGTAAACCACTTGGGAAGCCATCAATCTGCCTATATAATGAGTATTATATATATATATATATATATGCGCATTATATATAATTTAAATTATATACATTTTATGTATATATATTTTATGATATATTATATATGTAATTTAAAATTTTACCATGCATGAGTTTAACTGACTTACTCCTCACAACAACCCTATAAAATAAAATCTACTTTTACAATAAGAAAACTGAGGGTGCTTCACAGAATGGCCTTGGACACCCAGGCAGACCCTGACGTGTCGGGGAGGAGCCAGGCGCGGAGGTGCGTAGAGTGGAGCTCAGGGCTGCGGAGGGGAGCAGAGCTGAGCTGCTGGGCGGGTCTGGCCAGGCCAGTGGTGCAGAGACGTCGGTCGAGCGGCGGCGAACATGCGCTGTTGACATTTTGGAGGCTTTCTTGATCATGGATGGTGAAGAGATACCAGATTTTTCAAGTTTAAAGGAGGAAACTGCTTATTGGAAGGAACTTTCCTTGAAGTATAAACAAAGCTTCCAGGAAGCTCATGATGAGCTGGTTGAATTCCAGGAGGGAAGCAGAGAATTAGAAGCAGAGTTGGAGGCACAATTAGTACAGGCTGAACAAAGAAACAGAGACCTGCAAGCTGATAACCAAAGACTGAAATATGAAGTGGAGGCGTTAAAGGAAAAACTAGAACATCAGTACGCACAGAGCTACAAGCAGGTCTCAGTCTAATGATTTAGGTCAGACCCGGGCCATGAAAGAGCAGTTGCATAAATATGTGAGAGAGCTGGAACAGGCCAATGATGACCTGGAGCGAGCAAAGAGGGCGACAATAGTTAGTTTCACTGGAAGACTTTGAACAAAGGCTAACTCAGGCCATTGAATGAAATGCATTTTTAGAAAATGAACTCGATGAAAAGGAATCCTTGTTGGTTTCTGTACAGAGGTTAAAGGATGAAGCAAGAGACTTAAGGCAAGAACTAGCAGTTCGGGAGAGACAACAGGAAGTGACCCGAAAGTCAGCTCCCAGTTCTCCCACGTTGGACTGTGAGAAGATGGATTCTGCTGTCCAGGCTTCACTCTCTTTGCCAGCTACTCCTGTTGGCAAAGGAACAGAAAATAGTTTTCCTTCACCAAAAGCTATACCAAATGGTTTTGGAACCAGTCCACTAACTCCTTCTGCTAGGATATCAGCACTAAACATCGTGGGGATCTCTTAAGGAAAGTAGGAGCTTTAGAATCCAAATTAGCAGCTTGCAGGAATTTTGCAAAGGACCAAGCATCACGAAAATCCTATATTTCAGGGAATGTGAACTGTGGAGTGATGAATAGCAATGGCACAAAGTTCCCTCCATCAGGGCACACGTCTTTCTTTGACAAAGGGGCAGTGAACGGCTTTGACCCAGCTCCTCCTCCTCCTGGTCTGGGCTCTTCGCGCCCCTCTTCAGCTCCGGGTATGCTGCCTCTCAGTGTGAGTGCCCGGCCTCCAGGTGGGGGCTCCTGCCCTCCTCCAACAGCCCAGGACACCCACGCCTTCACCCCTTGGTGCCTGGCCCCAGCCCTGTGCCCTTCCATCTGCCTCCCCATGGCTGGCAGAGGGCAGGCTGCATGCAGTGGTGGCTGCTGGGCCCTGCCCAGCCCCAGGACTCTGCGCAATATCAATACTGGCTATTTTTTTCTTCTCGCCCGTAGTGCCGTTGGTTTCACGTGATTGCACTTTTGTGGGTCACAAGGTGATACATACGTGTATTAGTTGGTTACTGGATGCAGAAGTATCATTCATCACACCTGCCTCATAGCCCCCACTCTACTGTACTGATAGGATTTAGTTGTGGTTAGGACATTGCAGATCTTCTAGAAGTTTTTCCCCAAATCAGGTTTACATGTGCCCTCTCCTGAGCTCCCACCCATGCATCTTCAGTGCTCATGATCATGTGTCTCCCAACTTCATCCCCACAGTTTGAACTGTTTCTGGCAGAGTCAGGAAGGTCGCTGAATTAGGGCAACATTGTCTATACCTTCTGATTTTATGTAAGCAGTTACCATTCCATAGGCTTGCCTCCAAAGCAGCAAGATGCCCTCTGAGTGGCAGGTGGCAGGAACCTCCAGGCCTGGGCACTCACAGGGCTGAGCTTCCATGCTGCTGCTTCGTCCATGTGCCTCAGAGGTGGGTGGCAACTTCCTCACCAGCTTTCTGGTCCTTCAGTTAAATGCCATCTTCAGAACATTTTTGTTTTATCCTCTGAGGGTCCGCCCAGTTGCATTGGGAAGGATTGAGTGGCCTGATTCTGGGGGCTGGCTGATGCCAGCTCCTGGTGGCAGACTGACCAAAAGTGGTTGTCCCTGTGCAACCTTTGGTTACTCTCATGTTGCATTTACTGTTTAAATTTGTTTTATTGTACATAGGTTTGTAAACATTATTGCCTAAGATGTTTATATATAACTTGGGCTTTGTAGCTTTTATTTATTCAGAACTCATATGGCATGTTAATGACTTATGATGGTGTCCTTCTCTGGGGCAGCTGTATAGGATCATCATGTGGCTAAAAAAAAAAGAAAAAAAGAAAATACTTCCCCTCAAAAAAAAATCTTTTAATGTGGAAACAATACATTTCACAGAAAAAAATAAAATAAAACTGAGGATAGGGAAGTTAGGAAACGTGTTTGGGTCTAGTGTTGGAAGTAACAAGTGAGAACTAGCAGTTCGGGAGAGACAACAGGAAGTGACCCGAAAGTCAGCTCCCAGTTCTCCCACGTTGAACTGTGAGAAGATGGATTCTGCTGTCCAGGCTTCACTCTCTTTGCCAGAGTATTCAAAGGGATGTTTTCCTTTAAAATCATATCCTTTGTCACTAGGTTATATTAAAATTTATTCAAATTATATTTTTCTTTTTGTTTTCCAACAAAATGAGTGTTATTGTGAAAATTGGATTATTTTGTGGGAGGGATAATTCCAGGAGTATGCATCAATTAAAATTTAAATAAGCATATTGTTTCTATTAGCAATAAAACTGCTTTAATGTGCTGCTTATATGTTAATATAGATTTTTGGAAACTAATTTTCGCTTTTCATACCATAACCAGAGTTTCTGAACTGTCAGCACTGCTTTTCTTTTAAAAGTTAAACTGGTTTACATTCTCCTAAGGCTCTGAGCTTTGACTTTGCTTCTTTGCAAAGTTTAAAAGTAAAAAAGACCCCAGATATCATGTGGTCCAGTCTTGCCTTGAATACCTCAAATCACCACTTTTTCATTGCTATTTAGGGAGAAGTGTAGGATTCCATTTTAGGCATATACAGAATTTTCATTTCTAGAGCTTAGTTTTCAACTGTGTGTTGTTCTACTTGTTTTTCATATTATGGTTCTTCAGTGCAAATAAGTAACAATGAAATGTAACTTCTCTTGGTCACAGATTGAAATTACAAATAATGAGATAAAATATGAAAGAGGTGACTGCAGCCAAACAGAATGCCTATAAAACTTTGCAATGGTATAGTACTAGCCTGGAAGAAACAGCATAAGATAGAAATATTTTGATAGTTAGAAATGCCATGTGCTGAGGAATACATTCAACAGTGAAAATGGTCCACATAGCATGAGGAAAAATTAAGGTGCTTTTCTCAGTTTTCATTCACTCATGTTATACATATCCAGACATAAAATCCCCTAGAAAGCACTGTGCATCTTTGTACCTTGCCCTGTCTCAACATACTGCTTTGCAAAGGAAATGTTTATTGAACCAGTAATGTTTGTATTCACATGATTGTCATAAAAGCACCTTGAAGATATCCAGAAGAGAAAATAAGCCATAATGGTTCATTTAAGCTACATAAAGACTAAGTGGGTGTTCAAATGACTAGTTTCAAATTCAAATCCAAATCTACAGTGGATGGCTAGCTATTTAAGGGCCCGGAAAAGCCGGGCATGAGCACACCTGTAATTCCAGCTACTCAGGAGTCTGAGGCAAGAAGACTGAGTTTCAGCCCAGCCTGGGCAACTTAGCAAGACCCCTGCTTCAAAAACTATTTAAATAAATAAAATAAAATAAAATACCTGAGAGTGGAGTCAGAAATACATGATACTCTGGAGTTGATTTTGGGAATAGTTCCTTATTATATGTTTCATAAATTATATTAAATTGATTATATTTTTAATTTCTACCTCTCTGAACCTAGTGTGGTTCGTAGCACACACAAGATACTCAATACACAATTACTGAATGAAGAAGGAAGAGAACAAAAGTGATTTGTATTCTTAGACAACATGATTTCTGAATATATACTCTTTTTTTTAAAATGTAGTGCTGGGAATTGAACCCAGGGCCTTATGCATGCAAAGCAAGCACTCTACCAACTGAGCTATATCCCCAACCATGAATATATACTTTTATCCTTAAAAATATTTTAGCAAGCCAAATGTTGTGGCATGTGCCTATCATCTTAGCTACTCAGGCTGAGGAGTAGAATCAGTCCATGAGCCCAGTTGTTTAAGGCACACCCACATATAAATCACAAATTCATAACCTCTTACACTATTATTTTTACACATAATAAAACACAAATTTCAACATTTTAAATGTAAAAAAATATATTTAAAATAATTTAATGGTATTTGATTAATAACAAAAAGTCTTTTTGCTTTCATCTGATGCTTTATTATTTGGTAGTTCATTCCTTTTTAAAATCTTGGTTTGACACGGTGATACAGTGATTTGAAGATTTAGTTCTAAATTTAGTTATTCTAATACTTCATTTTCATAGCTGTCATAGCTGAAAAAGATATTTTAAAAAGACTTTTAGATTTAAATGTAAGAAATGCATTGTCTTCAGCTATATCTATTAAAGTACTCATTTTCTTTTTCAGTCCCATCAACCAGTTCCACAAAGATTTTTGTTGAAGTTTGACTAGTAAATTTCCATTTTCTCAGCTACCATTGGTAATTCTTGCAAAGGAAAGGCATTGCATTTTACCATTTCAACAGACATGTTTAAGACCCACTGAGTCAGGCACTGTAGGGAATGCCTGTTAATTCCAGCTACTAGAGAGGCTTAGGTAGGAGGATCACAAGTTGGGAGACCAGCTCAGGCAACTTAGCAAGACCCTATCTCAAAATTTTAAAAAAAGGCTGGAGATATGGCTCAGGGATAGAGGATCCTTGAAGGATCTACTGAAATTCATTATTTGGAAAATATTTAAGTATAAAATTATGTTTCCAAGTTTATTGTACACCAAGTTTAGCATGTCTTTTGTTCCC